CGAGGAGTAGGGAGGCGCGCCGCTGCCCATCCGCCGCTTACGCGACCGCTCGCACGTCTCCCCGCGCGGGGCCGCTATGCCGACGCATCTCACCGCGCGCTTACATTTGCCAGTAGGTTGGGCTAATACGGCGATTTTTAAAATTTCGTATCTCGATAACTATTCGTCCAAGCGCAAAATAGTACAATACTTTTCTGTTTGTCTTAGTCCCCTCTACCTTCCCATGACCGGAAGTCAATATGTTGCGTAGCACCCTGTATACATACAGGGTGTCCCAGAATTTGTGTACCAACAGTTAAGGGTATATTCCTCAGGTTTTTTTAAGATGGAAGTTCTTACAACAAAATGCCGAGGATACAATAGTTTTTAAATAAGAAGCATTTAATGCTTGCTAATCAGGTTACCCGAAGTTTGCGTGCTCAGGTACGGTATACAGTGAAAGTACCTTCACTACGTACCGTATACGATTCGAGTGCGTACCAAGCACGCGAACTTCAGTTAATCTGATTGGCCCAACTTCAAATGCTTCTTATTTAAAAACTGTTATATACCGGTATAAGAACCTTCGTCTTTAAATTTCTTCAAGAAGATATCTTTAACTATTGGTGCGCAAGCTTTCGGACATCCTGTATGACACACGCAGCATCCACAAACACACACACACACGCACACGCACACGCACACGCACACGCACACGCACACGCACAATATACAATATAACGTATATTTTATGAAATGTATACATTTAACTGCATGTTTCTAGATTAAGGTGGTTCTTGCATTTAGGTCAAACCAAGATAACTCGGAAAATATAATATCAAATGAAAGATTAACGTTCCTAGAGTGTGTATGAAAAATTTCGGATTTTTTTACCGCTTGGTTCCGGAGATATATGTCCGTAAACTTTGGCAATTTTACATATTGATAATAGGGAAAGGAGGGTCAGATCGCACATTCATGGAATACGTTCATACTTCTCGCCATGATGAACGAATAAAAAACTGTTTAATCGATGCAATAAACATTTCTACAGATACTGACGCGAAACCAAACTGATTGACCGTACCGTACCATAAATAAAGCGAAACTTGTGACGAACTTTCGGCAATTTTTGACACGACACGAGAGTCATGGCCGCCGTCTTGAGTGGCAGCTTGGCAACGTCGCACGGTCGCACGCGTCAGCTGACGCATAAGCACAAGGTGCGTGTCCTACCATTCTCCCACCGTTGAATGGAGGTTCAATGGATGTTATAAAGATAATAAATAAATAATAAAGATAATATATCTTTTTCGGCAGTTATATGAATATATTCACTATCGCGGAATTGTAAAAATAATTATGACGTATACTTTTTCTATTTTAGTATATTTTATTTTGTACCGTAATAATCATATTTATAGCCATATCTATTTTCTTATCACAGATATCAGGATTTCAAATCAGGTTGATATATATTATATTTTATTCATTCTATAAATGTATCCGTACATAGCTATTATTAATGCATTTTATTAATACCATAAATGTTGATAATTAGTGCAAGAAAAAACAGCAAACCTAGAGAATAATGCAAATGTACATACACTACATATACATCTCCATAATTTGTACATGTACAAATTATGGAACATTCACGTGTTCCTCTCCGTGCTCTGCGTGCTTTCTATGGTCTTTTTGACCTCGGAGATAACGTTTTGGAGTATCTTCTTATTCTTTGTTATCCTTGGACGTCCTCCAATATCTTCGCCCAGTAAAAGCTCTATACCCTTACTGCCTTTTTTATAGGCATGTTGCAAAAGATCAAGAGTGATCCCTGCTTCTGCCATCTTACCAATCATGCCGACTGAGACGGATCCCTGCATGCAATCCATTGTGAACTTGTTTTTATTTTTCAAAGTGGACCTTTCAATTATCTGCACCATAGCAGTCACAGACTTTGAGCGATCCATTAATTCTTCACGTGTGACTTCCGCTTTGTCGACGATTCGCTGAAGGATTCTGACATCGTTCAACGCATTGTGAGCGTCGGCTGCAACATTCTCGCCAAGCAAATCACTTGCAAGTTCGACTTGCGTGAATTTGAACTTAGCCGCAGTTCGGGAAGGCAATTTCGCTTTCAAGACAAGAAGAGTATCGGTAAATCCATAAACGACTGATGTGAACTCCTCCAATAGATTATAAGCGCGTATATCTCTAATTAAAAATCGTGCGTCAAACGTGAATCCATTGTGAGCAACCAACGTGATGACTTTGCCTATATTTCTTAGAAATTGCAAAAAGTTCTGCAGGGCAGTATGAAATGGAGTCGTTTCGACCTTCTCTCCGTGGAGAAACATTTCACCTGCGCAGACTGACAAGCCAGTTACGTCTGCAGCATTTTTTTAAATGGATCGCAGAGGCACCATGTAGGCGCTGAACTCCTGATCTTCGTATCTGGCTGCAATTTGGCAAATTTCCGAATATTTGACGGAAAGACCAGTCGTTTCAAGGTCAAAATAAACTAAAGGACTGTCTTTAGGTGCAGTTGGGTTTACTACAGGACTATCAATGAGTTCCTAATGGAATAATTCCGTCAAGTCCACATTCAGTCGAATATGTGATTCCTTCTTTTCTCTCGGCCCTATTCTTTTTATTGGACCGCTGCTTCTGCATGAACAGACGTCTTCTCTTGGTTTCGGGCTTGCTGGCTCGTTCTCGTCGCCTGGCTCGCTGGTAGTCTTACTTTTCCCGAAATTCTTCCGTTAATTTTCCGGGAGAGAGTCCTAGCTTCTTATTTAAATCGACGGTATATTTGGTACCAAAGTTCTTTTCACAAACGGTGGCAGCAACTCGAAAATCGAACGATTCGGAACCTGCATAGTGGTGGGCTTTACAACTTTTCGCCGACACGCTTGAATTGAATGCCTCGTTCTGTTGACTAGAGCCAGCCACATGGGGCGAGCTTGTCCGCGTTTTTCCAAAACACGTCAAAAATAGCTGTAAGTGTTTGTCTCATCGTCTGTCCGGTAAGTCCTTTACCTCCTGGTAGTCCGTTGTGCGTGTAATTCTCCGGGTCTTCGGCATATCTACACCATTCGCCACACTTTGCGTGTTCATCAAACGCATGAGGGATAATATTTTTTATCGCATTTTCTGTCGCCTCTACGTTACCTTTATTCTTCTTTAGAGAACAGCCAAAGCAGTATTTCAGATACTCTATGACGTCCCTTGGTATTTTTTGTGCCCACAATACTTTGCTGAGTTTCTTCGTAGCGTGATTTAGATCAGACCACTTGGCTACCGGATGACTGCATTCACGACGAACAGCAGCGATTGTGGAGCTATCGTCATCACCAATGAGTGTGCCTAATTTTACGTTGTGCTCCTCAACGTCTTTATTTTTCGCAATAATTTCTACGGCGATATCTGGCTCCATCGCCTTCGCACTCCCGGTCCAGTTGAGCCGGCAATCGTGATCGTCTGGGCTATGCCCCGCTTGGCACAGTCGACAGTGCTTCACTCGAGTTCCATATCCGATTACCATCCCTGATTTGGCGCCGATAAGAGATCCAACAGCTGTTATAATAAAGCGAGGAATAGTAAATTTAACTAACGTTCAATTCAG